TTTCTCTGACTGTTGAAAACTACAAAAAAATAGAGTTTTTTTAAATTTTGTTTCCGATTACGTTATTTTATAAATACAAGTTAATATTAACTGCAAAATGTAAATTATATTTTCTAAGATAATTAACTTCTTATTCTTTGTTCAATGGTTTATTCTGTATAGATATTCTGGTACTTTTTCCATAGTATACTCCGAAATGAATTTTTCACGTTTCTTCAACCTTTCAATGTAGATAATTAATCAAGCAACAATCTGTAACAAATTAACGTTGAAGAGTAGATATTTATATTTTCATGTTAGAGTGAGTCCGATTCGAATCTTTAATAAAACATTCGTTCATTCGTGAAGCGAACGGTGCTTCCTCGTTTTCTGAAAATTTTTCTCATAGTTCTTCTTTTCATTGGCCGAGAGTGACTCGGATGATTGGAATTCGTTCTCTGCTGACAACGTGGTAGTGATTTCTTTGAGTAGTATAGCCAGCTACCTTTTCCTTCCAAGTTTCTCTTTTGCAAACTTGTATACCTGGAGACCGGTGGTTTGGAAAATGGAAGTTTCAACGGTAGAAGTACCGGAACTCTGTCAATGTAGAAACTTCTGACCGTCTTCTTTTGCATTTTCCCGTGCTGAACAAGTGGTTCTTCGCGCAATTGCTTCATCTTTCAACGTTTTTTTTTTTTTTTTACGGATCTGCAAGCAATTTGATACTTGGATGAAAAAAAAGTACATGATTTACAAAGATATGGTAATCAAGAATTCATAAGATAGGAACTTACATCTTTAATCGAAAGTTGAAAGAAACGGGAAAAATAATAATTCGCGGCAACAAAAAATTTCTTCAAGCCGTTCCCTTCGTTTCACGTACGAATTTTATTAAATTTACAGTTCTGCGTGATAGAGGATAGTGGATGCTGATGAAAGGCACAGAACCTGCAACAGTCAGCGAACGTGCGAAATAAGCTAAGCGAGCAGATTAGAGACTTCTTGATGTAATTTACGTTTGAAAACTACCTAAAACAAAATCTTTTCAAAGGAAATTCCTTCCCTGGTTTTCTAACTTGGTGTATAGAGAAGCGTATCAAGTTCAATCAATGATTGAACTGTCGTGGCGGAAAGTTTAAATAACAAAATCTTTAATACGAGAAAATATACCTAATAATTAGGAATTATTGTTGAACGTATGGACAAGCAAATTTAAACGCAAGAAACGAAGAGAAAGAGAAGGAGCAATTGATTAATTGTTTTGTAAATTCAATTAAGATTGAAGCGAAACGTTCAAGATCAACGAAGAAACTCCGTGTGTAAAATATGGAATTAGAGCGACGAGGAAAGTGAAGGTCTGACCACTCGAAAGGAAAATGAAATTCCATAACTACTCGTTGCTTTGAATTGTCCGTCGTGGCGGCGATTGGGAAAACTCATTTATTGGAAATGAGGTCGCGTGATCCTGCGGTGTAGAATATTCGCAGAATATTCGTACAACAGAACAGAGCATCTCGTAGGATAGGAGAGGAAAAAGAAAACGAGAAAAACCCATTAGATGTATCTGGGATGCACGTGGGATTGGCTGTCCTTACGCCAGTGTTTGCGACGCCTATGCGCTGGAAAATTCCTCCAAGAAAACGCACGCCCCCATCGTCCGTGTAACGACCTGGACGCATTGATTGCTTTATTTTTTCAAAAGTGAAGTCCAAGCTGGAAGAAAGAAAGAAAAAAAGAGATTTATTGATTTAAATTTTTTTTCTTTTTCCGAGGCTTCCTTTGAAAACAAAGTGCCAATAATTATAGATCCCAAAATGAAAATTCCGTGAGAAGATTGAAGAATAACATAACATATACGTCGGTCTCAGCTGTTGTATAGATAAAGGGATTGAAGAAAATGAGTCGATAAAAAAAAAAAAAAAAAAAAA